GTGTGTGTGTGTGTGTGTGTGTGTGTGTGTGTTTCGTTTATATATGGGATCGGATTTCCTACATTTTCAACCGATTTCAACAAAACTTCACTTTTTTTTGGCAGGTAGTGTTTCTTATTATCTTGCACACTTTTTTCTTTTATTTTTTACATTCAGAATGCTTTAAAAATTCCATTTACAAGACAATTGTTTATAATAAAATTCTATTCAATCGATAGACTCATAAGGATTGAAAACAATGTTTTTGTTTGAGTTTGGGTTTGACAAATTCGTAAAAAAAAAAAAAAAAAAAACTAATTAAGTCATGCGTGTCCGTCAACCTTAAACAATAATCTTTGTCAATTTTATTTTTCAGTCTTTATGATGGTCGATACTTGATCTATCTCTTACGACATCGTTTAAATTTTCAAATTTTGAATTAGAGAACATTGTAAAATGTTCTACAATCTTACTGTATAAGGAAATATCACGTGACGTAATATTATACATCGGCCTATTAAACAAAAAAAGAGAGTTCAGGTTGTTGTTATTCTTGATTTTATAATCAAACACACACACACATATATTTATATATATATATATATATATATATATATATATATATATATATATATATATATATATTTAAATAAAAAAAAAAAAAAATATATATATATATGTATATATTTAAATAAAAATATAAAAAAAAATATATATATATATATATATATATATATATATATATATATATATATTTGGTTGGATAGATGTGAGTTTGTGACCCTGGGTTTCACGCTTTAGCGATCGTCAGACAAACTGATTAATGTTTTAAAAATTTGGGTTTATGTAGATTGCGTGTATTGGTGTTATTGTGGAAGTGGTGGGGAAATTTCGTCGTTTTGTCATTCATCGTACTAACGCAAACATCGATATATGCAGACACATATACATACTTGGTCGTCCGTCAGGGCCCATACATATATAAACATATGTTTATATAATCAGCTCAGTTTGTCTGACGATCGCTAAAGTATAAAACCCAGGGTCACAAACTCACATCTATCCAACCAAATATGTTAGCTCTATCTCTGATATTGAGCGCTTTCTAATAAATACCGCGCATATAATATATAAATAATTATATATATATATATATATATATATATATATATATATATATATATATACAATTTTACACACACACACACACACACACACACACACACACACACACACACACACATATATATATATATATATATATATATATATATATATATATATATAAAAGTGAACATAAAGTCAACACAGTTTTTTTTTGCTTGGAGGAAAAAATAGCTATCATTACTTTCCCCGACCAAAATAAATTATTAAATAAAAGATCCGAGCTCATCTCAAAATGCAGGCATGAAAATAAATTTTACTACGTAACCTAAAAAATGAAAAAACGGAAAAAATAAAAACAAACAAATACACTAATAAAAAAAAAATAAAATAAAATAAATAAATAAATACTATATTGCTTAAAAACCGAAAAACCGAAAAGAAAAATATACAAATAAATTGACCTAAATTCATCCAAGTAAATAATACAAACCAATCCCAAATTAAAAACTGTTCCCAACCCGTAAAAAATAATAGTTAGAATGAACTACAACAACAAACCCCAAAATTGAACAAATAGCTTGAATTAAATTCTCAAACCAAAACAAAACTGTTAAATACGTGATATAAACAATTTTTACTACGTTAATAAATAAATATATAAAATAAAAAAAAAAAAAAAAAAACGAGCAATATAATTTGACCCAAATAAATAAACAAAGCGACTTCCCGTAAAAAATAACCGCCATAATAGAATACCCACAATGCACCACCAACCCGTATATATATAAATAGCCGAGAAAAATAACAGCATATGTGGCCTGACGATTGCATATAGCATGAAACAGACTGTCGCCTCTAAGTGTTGACTTCTATGTTCACTTTTATATTTACACACGCTCTATCTCTGATATTGAGCACTTTATCCCATAAATATAGCACACCTTAAGACTATATTTCTTTATATATATATATATATATTAAGACAGGTTTTGTTATATAATTTAAATATGTTCTGTCTATTTATTCTCGATAGGATCCTTTCATAATCGTGGGTAAACTTTTTTGTGCAGTTATTAAAAGACGAGAGTGAAACACCGTGTTGGCTCATATTGTATTTATATCCGAGTACTTTCGACATAGCATAATGTCATCATCGCGGTATTGTTAATTATGGAGTAAGAATTTAGTGTTAATGGTTGTGAAGGACAAAAATTGTTGTGGTCATCCGAAAATTACTATTTTCATATGCGGGGTCTGGAACGCTTTGTCATGGCTTGGGTGACGGACACCGTTTAAGGGGAGGTAACTAGGTATGCTGTGGAAAAATTCCGAACTTGAGTAGTTGCTAGATAAAAGAAAAACTATTATTGACAAGCGCTAACATTTAAAGACGATATATTGTACACATTTTAAATTCATAATTAATTTTATTGAGGTTTGGTTTCAAATTTTGATATAAATAGCTTCGAGAATTTTTAGTTTGTGTTTATTCCTTTGATGGAAAAATATGGAGGTATTTTCGACGAGGATTTTTCTGAATTGCGAGTGTGGTCAGGTTTGTTGTTGTAAATGTTTAGAAATATTGGACGTGTTATTCAGGTGAAAACTTAGTCTACGTGAAAGCCTTGTTGTCGTGTGTCCAACATGTATAATATTACGTCACGTGATATTTCCTTATACAGTAAGATTTTAGAACATTTTACAGTGTTCTCTAATTCAAAATTTGAAAATTTAAACGATGTCGTAAGAGATAGATCAAGTATCGACCATCATAAAGACTGAAAAATAAAATTGACAAAGATTATTGTTTAAGGTTGACGGACACGCATGACATAATTAGTTTTTTTTTTTTTGTTTTTTTGTTTTTTTTTCCGAATTACTTTTTATCGTTGAAGATGCAATCTCTCTGAGGACATTTAAATTTATAAACGATGTTGGTATTCTGCAACACGCAAGTGGCCGGAGAAGAGTCATTACAAATGATTTTATTAGATATGGTGGATTTAGTGTAATATATAATAATTTTTATTTTTTTTTACTAGGGTCTGTGGTGGATGTATTAGTTTTTATTAATTTTTTAAGGATATTTTCGTCTTGTTTACAATTAGCATGCATCTGGTTACGATATAAAAGCTTGGGGTTAGTGGGAGGGGTATTTGCTCGTCGCCGATGTAGTTATTATTGATGAGTGTTTGTTTTACATTTTTAAGTTCGCTGTAGAATGTCTGTTTTGGGAGCAAAATAGTATTTGCACGGTTTATTAGTCTTTTTTATAATAGTCATTTTATAGTAATTTGGACATTCGCTTTTATATGGGGAGATGGTGAACTTATTGTTATTGGTGTTAATTAGTATATCGAGAAAAGGAATTTTTTTTTTTATTGGTAAAAATCTTATTTTCGTGACTGGACATATAAAAGTTGCTAAAGGTTGGTCCAAGAGCTGAACCCATGGAGTGTCCATCGCGTTTTATATATATGTTGTTGTTATGATCATGGAATGGGACTTCCGTAGTGCAGATTAGCAGTAGTTTTCGTAATATATTAGATTTAATTTTAAGGCAATCTTGATGCAATCCAAGTTCTAAAAAATGAGCAACCTAACAATGAAACAATAGTCTCACTCGATGTCGAAAACTTATTTACTAATGTCCCTATTCGTGAAACTACTGTGATCATTATAAATAACATATACCATAATCCATCTGTATACACAATTATATATATATATATATATATATATATATATATAGTGTTAGAAAGTTCGTTTTTTGCCATGAGACCCCAATTCGAATCTCATCATGGTCGATATTTCCCACGTTCTTTCCCAGAAACTGTAACTAGGGTCTGCTCAGCATAAATGCAGTATAAACCACATGTGGGTCCTGTGGGCGATAAACAAACACAAATATGCCTGAGCAAGAGCCTACAATAGGGATGTGCTAGTCACCCTATTAGACAGGCATCCTCGAATAAGAGTGGACAGCTACTATATATATATATATATATATATATATATATATATATATATATATATATATATATATATATATATATATATATATATATATATAATATATATATATATATATATTATAATTATATTTTTTAAAATATGATTCCTTCGCTACATAAAAGTTCTCATGTTTCAAAAACATAATAATATGTAATTCCTAAATTTTCGCTTGAGGATGAAACAGGGCTTGATATTTTAATTCAATTTAAATTCAATAATTATATTGAGGGTTTCGGCTCTCGTTTTTTTTAATGTGAACTCTTATGTAGCGTAGGAATCATATTTTTTTTTAAATAATTATAATCTAAGCTCTACTTCTGTATGGGGCACTGTTTTTTTTTTTTTTAAATAAAAACAAAAATTATTTACCTAACGTGCTCTTTTCCTATATTTTGCTTCATATCTGAATATATATATATATATATATATATATATATATATATATATATATATATATATATATATATATATATATATATAGTTCTGAATTCAAAACCTACATATATAAAAAAACATATATATATATATATATATATATATATATATATATATATGTGTGTGTGTGTGTGTGTGTGTGTGTGTGTGTGTGTGTGTATTCTTGCTTTTCTCTTCCTATCTCCCCATATATCTATGCGTTTGTTTTTACTCATGAGAGGGAGAATTCATATTAAGTCTAATTAAATATTTATTTTCTCTCAGCAGGTTTTCACTTACGCAGGATTGCCGATTTAGACAATGTAATAAAAATCGGTTAGGCTGGTTTGGAGAAAAAAAAATCTTCAGCCCCGGAGAATTAATTGTTTTTCAGCATTAGGAGATAATCCAAATCCGCCATTGGTGTGTATGCGACTAAAAGGGTGGAAGTGGGTGTTATTATTAATAGAAAGATATAGATGTGATTAGGCTGATAGATAGATAGATAGATAGATAGATAGATAGATAGATAGATAGATAGATAGATAGATAGAGAATAGAAAGTGACAGATAGACAGGAATAGGCAGTAACAGATAGATAAATAGATATATTTAAATGAACAGGCTGAGATAGATAGATAGATAGATAGATAGATAGATAGATAGATAGATAGATAGATATCGTGATTGACAGATAGAAAAATAGTTATATTAAAATGAACAGACTGAGATAGATAGATAGATAGATAGATAGATAGATAGATAGATAATGAATAGGCAGTAACAAATATATAAATAGATACATTTAAATGAACAGGCTGAGATAGATAGATAGATAGATAGATAGATAGATAGATATGAACAAACTGAGATAGATAGATAGATAGATAGATAGATAGATAGATAGATAGATAGATGTTGACAAAATTACAGATAGACAAATAAATATATTGAAATGAACAGACTGAGATAGATAGATAGATAGATAGATAGATAGATAGATAGATAATGAATAGGCAGTAACAGATGTATAAATGGATACATTTAAATGAACATGCTGAGATAGATAGATAGATAGATAGATAGATAGATAGACAGACAGATATGAACAAACTGATATAGATAGATAGATAGATAGATAGATAGATAGATAGATAGATATTGTGACAGTTACAGATAGACAAATAGTTATATTGAAATGAACAGACTGAGATAGATAGATAGATAGATAGATACATAGATAGATAGATAGATATGAACAAACTGATATAAACAGATAGATAGATAGATAGATAGATAGATAGATAGATAGATATTGTGACAGATAGACAAATAGATATATTGAAATGAACAGACTGAGATAGATAGATAGATAGATAATGAATAGGCAGTAATAGATATATAAATAGATACATTTAAAGGAACATGCTGAGATAGATAGATATGAACAAACTGATATAGACAGACAGATAGATTGAGAGGAGATTGTCCAGCATTCATTGCCATAAAAGAGAACTGATATTACATAACAGTTCAGTACTCTTTTCTTTCTTTTTTTTGCTTCCAGTCTCTTCTTCATGTGTGAGGAGATTGTCCAGCATTCACTGTAAATTGTAACTGAACTGTAAATTGATGAGATCTTGACGCCAGTCTATTGCTGTGCTTATATTCAAAAAGTCTAGGTACTACAGTGAAGAGTTCATCCAAACAATTACCATGAAAGTATTTATAGAAATGGCACAGAGGGGCAACAGTGGGAAAAATGAATGAAGCCGAGCTGCCAGATGAGGACTGATAAAATTGCTGATTCTTCTTTGGAGTTTTATCAAGGAGCTGAAGGTAAATTCCAGGGGCACTTGATCATATGTGACAGCAATATTCTAAGCATAGACTGATGATAGACTTATAGATTTGTATGATAGATTCTGGAGAGAAAAATTGTCTTGCATGACACAGTGAACCAACATTCTTAGCAGCTGACCTAGCAATGGATTCAATATAGACTTTCCACTTCATATCAACTGAGAACATTGGCCCTCGTATAAAGCAAGAGAGAAATATACATAATCCCATATGTATATGAGAAAAAGAGTATATTGATTTACTAATTTTTGTCTAGTATTCTATATGTTACTTATAGCAGCTGGTGTTCCGAAGCAGTTCAATTCAGCTATTTACTGATCAGACTTGACTGTGCTTAAATTAAGAAGGTAATCAAATGAGAATTGGTGCTTTCAAATTGACCATATACATAAAAACACCAAATTAAAGGTTTATAAAGCTAATGTGCTGTTGTGGATTCCGAGATGAAATTCGGTCTCCAATGAATGACAAACGCAAGAATTAAATATAAGAAATTAAATGTATTTACACAATAATACAAAGGGTAATACTGTTAAAAAATCCAGGAACGCGGTTAGTAGCAATAATATATATATATATATATATATATATATATATATATATATATATATATATTAGTCCAGACAAACCCTTTTTCGTTTGTCTGGCTCACTAGGTGTATCTAGGTCTGCTCTACGGCTGTATTGAGCGCTTTTGTTAGTTAGTTGTTACTCGTATCGGGGATTTTTCTTTGGGCTTCAGACCTGCATCTGTGCGATTTTTTTGTCGGCAGAAGTTCATGTTTGTAGCTCTTTCTTTTTTAAAACTTTTTTTTCCTCGAGATTGATTTGATTATTAGCAAATCAAAAATTCGAGGGTTTTTCGAAACGAGTCTACTTATCTATATATATATATATATATATATATATATATATATATATATATATATATATAGAGAGAGAGAGAGAGAGAGTCTCAAGTAGGACTTCCTTAGTGTCTACGTACTGGTAACTGACTTCTGCAAGCGGTTACCTCACACTATTACTTTTACCTCCAACTCAATCACAATCTCTGCTCACTCCCTCTCTCTATATATATTCTGACTGACTCTGGGTATTTAACAGCAGCAGTCCAAGTAACACTCTGGTCGAGTCCACTTATATGAAAAAAAAAGGAGGACCCCATAACATGTGCAATTCACTTTTTCTATAGTAATGAATCATACCTGCATCACCTGAGCCTCCTCAAAAACACAGTAGCATTGCTGTTGTGCTATTCTCAAAGTATGCTCAAACAACTTTATCACAAACATCAATCCACAAAAGTGCCAGTGCATGCAACATTAAAACATTGGTAAACAAAACATTCTGTATTATTGCTGACCATATATTAAAAAAAGGAAACCATTTAACTTCCAAAGAGTCAATCCTTCAGAGCTGGCCTGTGTTCAATGCAACTGAGGAACACTACAAAAGAGATATAGGACTTTCCTAAAAAGGACTTTCATTACCGGTGATATCTAACATAATAAGGCTGCTTGTAACAGATACACTGGATCGTATATGGCAGCAATATCTTTAAACTCGGACGAATAATAATAATAAATAAATAAATAATAATAAAAAAAAGATGGAATAAATTAAAAAAATAAAAAATAATGAATAGCATATATTTTTTTCTCTCTCCACTCTTTTTTATATTATAACAAGCCTGATTGATTGCCTGGACATTTTCTTTTATTAGTCAGTGATCTACTTTTTTTCTGATTTGCCTTTGTTGTTAATCAAACTATTTTGATTGTTTATTGAAGAGAAGGAAATGACAAGCATTCTCTGTATAAACTGTGTTTACACCCACATATTCAGAGAAAGAAAGAAAAGCTTGAATCTGAAAGGGAAACACCAAGGATTGTTTAAAAAGAGTAAACAAAGAAAAGCAACACTAAAAAGTGTACTATTGCCTTTGTGCAGTGTAAAATTTCTGGTTTATAGTAAAAAAGTTAAGAGTAGATTACTGCAACATACTTAAATTCTTCTAGTATTGCTAAAATGAGTACAACTATTTCTCTTCTAAAAGTATTATAGTAATATTACTAGTACAATTCAGTTGTAGTTATACTGTTATTCTCTCGTGCTGTGTTTATGGCAGTAATAGTATATTAAGTACTGAACCTGCAGTAAAAAAATTGCACTCTCATATAACACTGTTTTATCATTTTGGAAACTATATACTCCAATATTACAGGCATTATGGAATTCACTATGAGAAAAAAAAAAAACCAATCATGATAATACACTACTTTCATGTGTATCCACACCTAAGAAGCTTGTGTATGTTGTATTTGGTGATCTTTAAAAAGCTCTTTATACATCAATTCCCATTTTTAATTTTTTAATCTCATTGCTGAATAAAAAGCTGAAAGAGTGTATCAAAAAATAAGATAGAAATAATAGTCTGAAAAAATGCATTGAATAATGAAAATGTTTGATCTCATAAAGATAAAAGGATAGCAAATATGAAATCAATTGATTAAAAAAATAATTTGTTTTTTTTTATTATATTCTTTTTAATCAATTTCACCCCAGGGAGGCAATAAAGCCACTGAGACACAAGGGGTTTGTAGTGACACTGGCAAATTAATATGCCTAATTTGCATATGTGCAAGAGAAAGCCTATATAACTCGTCACTGAGAATAACGTGGGACGAAGACAAGCTTAGCGAATGACTAGTGCTAAACTTCGACTTCACATCAATGGCGTCGCCAATAGGATCCAGTTTGTCTCTAGAAGATTCAGATTTCGTGGATGCATGGATTCACTGTTTTTTCCGCCAGTGCAAGAAGTAAAAAGCTGAAAGACAACAAGGAGAAGGGAGGCGAAAATGAAATTACGGATTTATTTTTGGCTACAGCTGGATGCGAGGCGATAATGAAAGTCTCCACCATGGCATATCCCATAAATTAGACAAATTAGTGCTCTGCTAACGATGTCATATTCCACAAATGAAAAAATGTGGTACAAAAATAACAAAGAAGCAAATCCGGAAAGGGCAGAATTTATCATGCAGAAAGGTCACAATACAGCTATAATAAATAGAGAAAACGGCAACAGTGTATTAGCCCATGCAGATCAAATAAGGACCCAGGGTGAATATGAAGAGCAAAATGATAAAGAAATGGGCTCATAACCAATGTTACAAATTCATGACGGTCGTCTTCGAGTATCGAATCCAGAGGTTGGCAGTGAATATTTCGGAGACAGTAGGAAAGCGTAGTTCAGGTTCGCAGTGGATATCGTAGCAGAGCGTAGTTCTTCCTTCTGGCATGTTCGCCTTACAAGTTGGCTCTGGTCATTCCGGTAGCGTAAACAAAGATGGCCGCCTTTATACACGACGGATACAATGTTCTGCGGCTTCTGATTGGTCAACCTGCTATTGGTAGACTATAAAGGGAATTAAGTCATTTTGACTAACTCACTAGTTATATACATATATATATACACAAAAAACTGTAACATACGATTCTGTCTGTTAATGATTTATTAGAACAACCGTTACAGAATGAAACGTCAGAAGACGAAATAATGCAGGATCAAGTGGGACAAAATGAGTTTGAAAGTTCGGACGAAGATCAAATAATGCAAGAAGATGCCTATGATTACACCCTAGCGTGGGACAGATCTAGGTCTCCCAGAAAAAGAAATACGGGAGAGAGAAGTAGAGCAAAGTAATGAAACTATCACGAGAAGAAGTACAAGAACTACTAGAGGTATAAAACCTATACATTTCAGGGAGATGTAGTGACACTGGCAAATTAATATGCCTAATTTGCATAAGTGCAAGAGAAAACCTATATAACTGGTCACTGAGAATAACGTGTGACGAAGACAAGCTTAGCGACTGACTAGTGCTAAACTTCGACTTCACATCAGGGTTACTATGTGTAAAAGAATTAGAAACATAAACATTATTAATGAGTGGGAATAGAAAAGAAGTAATTCGGAAGACAGTAGATAGCGATTAACATTGCATTTAAATTTTTAGAGATTTAATTTGGCTGGAAAGCATGGAGCCGGAAGAGAGTTCCATAAGTGAGAAGTGCAAGAACTGTTAGCATAGAATTTACGATTACATCTAACCAGCTGAATTGTAAATTGATGAGATCTTGACACCAGTCTAGTGCTGTGCTTAAATTCAAAAAGTCTAGGTACTACAGTGAAGAGTTCATCCAAACAATTACCATGAAAGTATTTATAGAAATGGCACAGAGGGGCAACAGTGGGAAAATGAATGAAGCCGAGCTGCCAGATGAGAACTGGTAAAATTGCTGATTCTTCTTTGGAGTTTTATCAAGGAGCTGAAGGTAAATACCATATGTGACAATTACATCTAGTTCCATAAGCGAAAAGAAATTGTTAGCATAGAATTTACGATTAGATCTAACTCTACTCAACTGTAAATTTTGAAATATTGGTATCACGCCATGTAAGAAGGTAAAGCCCTTAAAACACTAGGGATTACGGGCTATGGAAGAATTAGGAACAGAAACATTAAAAATGAGCAGAAAGAGTAATC